TTCCCGGATCACCATTGAATACTCCACCTGGACTCCCAGGTAAGGCAATGTGCTTCCAAAAGTGTCTTCAGTGCAGTCACTCACTGGGAAAATTTGAATAGGTAGCTGAAAAATTTAGATAGAAATTAAAAAATTACACTTTCAAGAGGCAATAGTTTCTCTTAATTAAAGTTAAATTTGGTCCGGTCCCCATATAAATCAATTAAGTACATACTTGTATTGTTTGAGGATTTCTATTAGTGCAGTAAATTTAAAATTATGATTTTGGAAAGTGCTACATATTTGACTTTGGAATTTTCTATTACTAAGAATCAACATAAAGCTTCATGGGTTTTTGTTTTGTTTTGTTTTTTGTATATATGTATTTTTTGTATCTTTCACCCAACGTTATGTTATTTTTTTGTTCATGACGCTGAGTGCAGCGGTTGGAGTACTAGCCTCTCTTCACTGTATAGGAAGACTAAGTCATACCATAGGTTAGAAAACTAGCTTACTTCTTTCTTGGGGCTGGAATGGAAGACGAGGAGTACCTAGGGCCCCAGACGGAAAGTCAGCTAATAGGGGTGTCTTGTCTAACTGATCTGACATCAGGGCTCACCAAGTACATCACTTTAGTTTCTTATAACACTTGCTTCTCCAGCAGTTCTAACAACTCACAGAACCAAGGAAGGAGGGCTTAGCCACACTGGGAACTGATGATCAAGGGCCTTACATTGCTTCTCAAATGATGATGCAAGGCTCTGTTGCTAATAATGCTATTAAAAGTCTCTCTTAGCTCACTTCTAAAGCCTCCAGACATATTTAATGTAAAGCAACACTTCTCTCAAGAAAATGTACAGGCCATATAACATGCTTTGGGCACGAAAGTGTCATCACACTATAGTATCCCTTGCTTAATATAAAACAAAAGCTTCTTATCTTGGCTATTGTAAATAGCATTGCAGTGAACATGAGGATGCAGATATCCTTTGGAATTAGTCTTTTGGATTTCTTCAGATAAAGACCCAGCAGTGGAATTGCTGGGTCATATGGTAGTTCTATTTTTAAATTTTTGAGGAACCGCCATACTGTTTTCCATAGTGGCTGCACCAATTTGCAATCCCACCAACAGTGCACAAGAGTTCCATTTTCTCTACATCCTCGCTAACACTTCTTTATTGGTTTACTGATGATAGCCATTCTAACAGGTGTGATGCGATATCTCATTGAGGTTTTAATTTGCATTTCTTTGCTGATTAGCAACGTTGATAATCTTTTTATATGTTTATTGGCTATCCATATGTCCTCTTTGGAGAAATAACTATTTAGGCCCCCCTGCCCATTTTTAATTGGATTGTTTATTTTTTTGGTGTTGAGTTGTATGAGTTCTTTATAAATCAACCTAAGTGCACATCAATAGTCCATTGGATAAAGAAGATGTGATATAGATATACAATGGAATATTACTTGGCCATGAAAAAGAATGAAATCTTACCATTTGAAACAACATGGATAGACCTAGAGGGTATTATGCTGAGTGAAATAAGTGAAACAAAAAAACAAATATCATATGATTTCACTTATATGTGGAATCTAAAGAACAAAATAAACAAACAAACAAAACAGACACAGACTCATAGATACAGAGAACAAACTGATGGTTTCCAGATGGGAGGGGTGTTGGAGGGCTGGGTGAAAAAGGTGAAGGGATTAATACGTACAAGTGGGTAGTTACAAAACAGCCACGGGGATGTAAAGTACAGCATAGGCAATATAGTTAATAATATTGTATAATAATAACTAAGTACAGTGCCCGGTGGGTACTAGACCAATTGGGGGGATTACTTTGTAAATGATAAAAATGTCTAACCACTATGCTGTGCACTTGAAACTAATATAAAATAATATTGAATGTCAACTGTAATTTAAAAATGAAAATTAAAAAATTTTTCATCCAAAAAAATAAATAAATAAAACAAAAGCTAACTGAGCCCATTTGAACTCTCAAATTAGTAATCGACTCATGCATGCACAACTTTATAGTCCCTGTAATATCAGAAATTCACATAGAAGAATTAGTTTTCTGTGATTCTTAAGACATATATTGTAAAAACAGCTAAGCATTATTTTGCTTGGAGAGACACATTGCTTACTTTGATGCATGTCTTGCATTTGGGTAGAAGGAACTAGAGTAATGACATATATCACTTTCTGTGTGCTTTGAATTTTCATCTTTTTGAAAAGCATCAGCAAATTCTGATCATTCTCTTTTTCCTTTTCCTTTTGTTATTTGTGTTTTTATATATTCCCGATAATATGAAAAATCTCTGTAAATTTCTCCTAGGTCCTTTCAATCAGACATTTTCATTTTAGTGATGCTATAGCATTTGTTTTGTTTTGTTTTGTTTGATTCATTGCCTTTTGGGTTTTGCATAAATGGCCATCCCTTTTGTGAAAAGGAATGGAATTAGCATGATCCTAAGTGGTAGGATCTATATCATTCTCAGCCCACAGGGCCTCCAAAGGTCTGGCTCTTAGTGTCGCCCTGCCCCTTTCACCACTCTGATTCCTAATCTCCCCATTACTTGAGAGAGCTAAGGGGGAAGCAAGGTGGAGGAGCCATCCATGAGCTGTTTCTTTGTGGTTTAGGACTCTGAAAAAATATGCTATCAAAGCAAAGTGTAAAACTTTTATTATTTTAACTTATTTCCTGCCAAACTCTTGCTAGTGCCTGGTTTTACTGTTCCTTTAACAGGTGGAGGATTTTTCAGATTTTAGATGCGGCAAGGTAAGTGACAATATATTTTTAGTTTAAGTGAACCCAAGTAAGCTAGAATAAATGGACTCTCCATTGCCTATCAGTTTAATTTAAATACAATAGTTAGGTTTTGGGCTTGGACAAATTCTTTCCAGGAATCTATTTTTAGCTTAAAACAGCTGAAGCCACCCAGGCATATAGTCTCAGGTCTGAAAGCTGACCTAGTTCAGAAGGGGATGAATGTTCAAGGCCAGCACCACAGATGGTTGGGCAACAGGTCATTAGCTCCTTTTACTTTTTGCTGAAGTAAGATGACACAGTGGAACGTTTTGTGAAGAAGGCCCCACCATCAATGATGTTTACCTCACACTGCTTCAGGCATGCCTGCCTGTTTGCTAGGCTGGATGGTGGTTTAGGGGCCACCTAGGTCAGCATTTCATGGAAGGGAAATCAATTATTTGAAAATACCAGGACTTTTAAAGTATGTAAATATGTAGACTTGTGAGGTGGAGTAATCCCATAAGCCAAGGGCCTTTATGACATGAACTCTGTCAGCGGAGCAAATCTAATTAAATCCAGGAAAGTTCCTAACTGTGGGGTTGGGAGTATTGAGAATGCTCCAGTTTAGTGCCTTTGCAGACAACAACCGTGTACCACGCGCTGTGCCATCATATAGCCACCAGTGCTGAAGAGGCTGTGAGAATCATAAGCCATTTTGTAAATGTGTGCTGTAGTTGTGTGGCACATTGTTTTGTAAGATCATGATGCTCACCAGTATGATATTGGGCCTATTGCAGGCTTATTGGCCCAGAAATATTTACCAGTGTCTTCACATTCTCTTACTACCCACCTACATCTTTTCTTATGCTCCCTGGCCAAATAGGTTAGCAAGAGCAAAGGCTGGAGCCTTGGGATTTCTCTAGGGTAGACTTTCATACAAAGAGAATAGATGGGCCATTTCTTAGATGCCCAGTTTAGCTTTCAGTAATGTGGCTTCCACATTCCCATTAGGGCCTCAGTGGGTTTATTTGACAGCTGAGAATAGTAAGTTCAGTGTTTAATTCTATAGTCAGATTATAATTCATTGAGATAAACGGTATAGACACACAAATACCTAGTCACACAATATTAGTATGAGAGGGTGTTTAAAGGTCATAGATTGGATATATCACGGTGGCAAGAATACTTGGTGCTCTTACTAACTAGTGGGGTGATTTTGCCCCAGCTCTGCTGTGAGCCTTGATTTCCTCATCTGTAAAATAAAACAGAGTAGATGACCATTAAGGTCAATAACATAGGGACTATTATCCCAATAATTGCTTTCATGCAGGACATGTTAAGATACATACATATTTTTTTTGCTTTAAAATTTGCTACATGATAGAACCATCTCTCTATAACAGTTCAGCTATATAACAGCAAATCTTGACATACTTTGTTTTTATTGTTGTGCTGATCACTTTGACCAGAAGTTATTATCAGAGCAGTTTATACCAGGTCTTAGTCTGTGAGAAAGGAAAAGAGGGATGGAAAAGTATTGACTTGGGTAAATGTCTGTGGGGCCATTTTTAATTCTGGTGGACTGAATGATATATGAAAACTACTTGCAAGACTAGCACATTTTTCAGCCTCTAGTAAAATAATAAAGCAATTCATTTGGTAATCCCCATTGTACATGCTGTTGTATAAATATACAGGATTATGATTATCTCTGCTTCATAATTTAAAATTTGCGTAAGTGCTTGCTATTATTTGGTTGTCTGAATAGATTTTGTAGTCCAGAGAAAGAAGGAAATAATCAGTGGAAGCCATCCCAAATGTCTTGTATTATTGCTACATACATGCATAATTAACTGCAATACTAATTGTTTGAGACCAGAACCTCATGTGTTTTTCTATAGACAGCAAAAATATTAATTGCCATTGCCAGAGTGTCTCTCTCTCTCCCTCTCTCTGTCTGCCTCTCTCTCTCTCTCTCTCTCTTTTTACCTTTTCCCCCATGGCCTGTGATTCACTTCTGATGACTGCTCTCCCTTTTGGTTGATAAACATGTAACATCTTCCCGGATCACCATTGAATACTCCACCTGGACTCCCAGGTAAGGCAATGTGCTTCCAAAAGTGTCTTCAGTGCAGTCACTCACTGGGAAAATTTGAATAGGTAGCTGAAAAATTTAGATAGAAATNACTAATTGTTTGAGACCAGAACCTCATGTGTTTTTCTATAGACAGCAAAAATATTAATTGCCATTGCCAGAGTGTCTCTCTCTCTCCCTCTCTCTGTCTGTCTCTCTCTCTCTCTCTCTCTCTCTCTCTCTCTCTCTCTCTCTCTCTCTCCTACAGCCAGCTATATCATAAAGTCTGCAGTTATTTGTAAGCAAATTATTTGGTTGGATTTTCAGTGTATCATTTTGTGATGGAGTTTTCAAGTTTCTGTTTAAGTTAGCAATCACTGCCTTGAACAAACAGACTATTTTTATAATATTTTAACAGTAAGGCTCTATAAATTTAAAGAATAAAAGGATGCTGACATACCAACCAGTTTTGCTGCTGCATTTACATTCTACTTCATATGCCATAGCTTTAAAATTATTGGCATTAAGACATTCATATACATTCATATGAAAATCATAGGAAGTCAAAGTTAGAGGGGGCCTTTAAGATCATTCTGTCAAATTCCCTCACTTTTCAGATGACTTTGATTGTCAGTAATTTTATATTAGCAACATCCACCAAATCAATGACGCCACACTTATTTTTTACCTTTCAAACCATTGGGAGCTATTGTAGTAAATACATTTGAATTAATAACTGTTTTTTTTAATCATACAGCTTAAGCTTATTTTCCAAAAACCTGAATTAGATTTCTTTCAATATGCCTTCATAAAGTTTACCTAAACGTAATGTTGATGGTATATATGTGAAAGGAGATATCTTATGTAAAGCACTTGACAATAGGAAATACTCAACCAATATCAGTTCTCTTCCCTTCATGCATAGATTACCTAGCTAACATCAGCATAGTGGAAGTGTTGCTTCAGTGACTGAGAGTATGGGCTTTTAGAGTCAAACTGTTCTTGGGTCCAATCCTGGGGCTGCCACTTTAGCAGTGTGACCTTGAGTAATTTCTTGAACTTCTGCGGGCTTTCAGTTTCTTCACATGTAAAATGTAGCCACCTTCTAGAGTTGTGATGATTAGAGATTAGGCATATCAAGTATTTAGCACTGTTACTGGCACATAGTAAACAATCAATACATGGTAGTGGTTTTTACCACCACTATCCAACATACCCTGTGCCAGTCTCATTCAGTACTAATATTTAATCTTATAGTGATTTGGAATACATGCATATACACCTGTACATGCATATACATCCGCATATGGGCACTCAGATTCCATAACAATAGCATTAAGAAGACTGTTTTCCTAAAGATTATCTGTGACCACCAGGTTTCAGAAGCCAATGGCTTCTTCTTTGGCCTCATTCTTCTTGAACTCTTTGAAGGTTCTGGCAGTCTTGCTTGAAAGCTTTCATAATTTATTTTGGTTCACCTCCTGTCTTCTCAACTTCTTAAGTTTCCTTTTGTTGGAATCGCTTTTACACGCACGCACACAGACACATGCGCGCATGCATGCACGTGCACACTCACACACCCTCTCCGTCCCCCTTGCCCCTTTAAAATGAAGCAGTTCCCAAGGTCCTGTCATTGATCTGTTTCTCTTCTCTTCCTATGTTCTCATTCAGGGTAATTTCATCTCCTCATATAGCTTCACCTTTCACCTCTACACTAGTGATTCCGAAATTGACCTCTCCCATCCTTAACTCATTCCGGAACTCCAGGCCAACTCCCACTTCCAGTTGCTCGCTGAGCATCTCCAGGGCAGGATATCCCAGGAGGCTGAAGCATAGTCTGGCTTTTGTCAACCTGCATCAGGAATGCAGATGGGGGAAATCTAGCTTCAAGAAGTACAAAGTGTTGGAAACAAGGAAGAAGTGCTGGGCATTAGTCTGAGCAGAAGTAAAGGTAATATAAGTAAGGAAAGTGGTTCGAAATGAGCTTTCCAGGGAAAGCAAACGGAATTTCAAGTGAACTGAATTTCTCTTAATATGAATTGGAGATATACAAAGTGTATGTTTTCTAGGGAGGAAGGGAACAGGTTTCCTAATGAAAATTGAGTTCAATTTTTAGGTGCTGGAAGGTGCTGGCGTGTTTCAGGGGAATGTTAATTAAAATTAGCTTTCTTGGAACAGTTTGTATGGTTAATTTTGTTTTAGTGTTTTGTTATACAAACACACATGCCAAGAGGAAGGATAATGTCTTCAACCTGAAAGATGAGCATGTGGGAATTTTGAGAGCACGTGAATGCATAGACACATACACACACGCTAGGCCAACTATGCCTGAGCTTTTGAGTGTGTGAAAATAATTCTATCAGAGTGGACATAGATTTTTTTCTTTCATTAATTCTGCACATATTTACTGAACAACTACTAGATGCCATGTTCTTTGGAGCAATGGGTTATGAATATAGGACATATAGAGTCTTTATCCTTAAGTGGTTAATATATTTTTCTTTAGTTATGTACAAGTACATCGAGAATTTAATTTGGTCTAGAAATATCTGTAGCATGTGACAAATTATTGAATGACTATAACCATGCTGACAATCTTAATGACCAAAGAGGAACTTAAGGGAAATAAGACAGTGCTAAAGTGGGGAAAGAATGTACATAAATTCAAATTAGAAATTGATTACTTCCTTTAAATTTAGTAAATATTTAATTACTTTGGGATTTTACATTTCTACTTGACTTTCAGTGTTTCAGGCCAGAGTAAGAATGATTATGTCTAACCTTAAAACTTAATTAGAGTAAATGGATAAACACATCTTGGTTAATGTATGTAGTATTGCTAGGAGAATTCTTTGTAAATGAGCTATTCTTAAAGAAACTTCAGGCCTAACTTACAGCTTTAGCACAGGGAACAATATTCTTTGCTTCTTTGTTTGATTTTTTAAAATAATATTTT